AATAAATACTTAATACTACTTAATATTAATTAAGGGATAAGTAATAAGTCATTATTACTTACAAAATTACTTTGCCCTTCTCTACCCTTGACGGCACTCATATAAAAATTCCGTTTCCGCTTAATTCCGCTTCCACTTACAACATATGGGTAATTATTTTTGAATCCAGACCAAAATGTTATTACGTCATATCAGATATATAAAAATTGGTCCGAGTTCAAAAATAGTTACCCATATTTGAAAGCAAATACAAAATAGTCAGATCATGATTAGAAACTCTGTAACTTGCTGTAACTATTGCCGTAACTTGTCGTAACACAATAAAGTTACGGCGTAACTCACTAGTTATTACATATTATATACAGATAATTACAAGTTACGCGATAGTTACGGCAAGTTACGGAAGTTTCACCTGCACCTCTAATCATGACCCGAACAATAATAGATGTTGGGATGAAATCGGATTAAAATGAAATTTGAAGTTTTCTCTAATATACTTTATTATAAATTCTGCATTTAAAGCTGGCCCAGACATGTCTATTTTATATACTATGCAACATTTCATTTTAATCTGAATCTGCCACAATAAATTGCGCAGATCAGTATGATATGGCGGCAGAATCCGTATGGTACAGGTCAAATATTTAAAACCATAACTGTCTGATCCGGCGTTATATAATTAGCATTAGGTTAGTGTTAAGAATTATATATAGCTAATTACTCATCCATGCCATACCGATCTGCTACGTACGTACATACAATTAGAATAACTTATAATTCCATTTACGTACGTACGTAAGTACGTGCATGTATACTTAACAACGTAACTGTAACAATAATAATAAAGTGGGAGAAAAAAACCAGTTATTTAATGAATTTTGTTTTAAATAAGGCCTTAAATAGATATTCGCTTAACGCAACGACGTTATACTAACTTCTCTAAGAGAGGAGATCGTATAACTTCAACTTTTACACACCACTTTTAAGAAAGTACTTTGAATTGTATAAATAATATAGAATTAAATAGGAATTGATGCTCTTCTTCCAATATTGTTTTTGATAAGTTTAGTTAATTATGTGTATCTCGTAACCTTTCGGAGTATTCTGGACTCACATGGAAATTAATTATCATTATTTTAATTGAGAATAGCATCTTAGTTTGGACTAAACTTAAACAAATTAATCAAATATATATGTATAACTATATTTCTTTCGAGCCATGTGATTCTAAATTAGGTTAAATTTACGTTAGCTTCCCAAAATAATAATGGGATCTTGCTTACATATTATATACTTCGCTTTTTAGTTGCTCGATATCTTTCTTTTGCTTCCAGAGCGTGGAAAATGTCGGCAAATTTTCTATAGTAAGTAGTAAATTAAAACTAAAGTTTTTTGATCAAAAAATTAAAATGTTAAATTATCAAGTAATAATTTTTTTATATTTTATTTATAATGCAAGCTCGATACAAAAGAAATGTAAGGACAATGGTTGTAGTGAATATTCGATACATAAGCTCTTAAATAAACGCCAAATAAATTCAGAAACCATTATTGATGCAACTGATGTACCAGAGACTACCGATACGATACCAACTTTAACAAGAGTGATAAATAATTCCCAAGTCACCGTAATTTCCGAATTGCCAACTACTACTACATCAGCCTTTTTTACGACTATTTCGGCATCACATGCGATTCCAACACCCACAACATCCTTTCTAGATAGTGTAGATAAACTTGAACCATGGATTTTTGCTTTTTTGATAATTTTAATAATCATCATGTTTGTGTTAACCATTTGTCTTTGTCGTGATAAGAACAGTAATATTCTTGAAAATGACGCGAATATCACCCAAAATTCACGGGAAGTGAGAATGCCATCCAAATCACCAGAAAAATTATCAGAAAAATCATTTGAAAGATCATTTGAAAAATCATCAGAAAAATCATTTAAAGGCACTATTAATAAAATAATGCCTGAAGAAATTGATAAGAGAATAAGTCAAAGTATATCTGAAGAAGATTTGGTAATACGTCCCCCATTAACGCGTACCCCAACTACAGTTTCTGCTTTCATGGAAATGGTTGATAATGCTGATAATGTTGATAATTAAAAAAAAACAACTCAGGATGTCAACGATTACATAAACATGATAAAATTGACATTAAGCGTTTTTTATAAACTTTTAAAATAATTTATAAATAGATAGACAATTTCATTAGAATTATGATAGAAGCTTCAAGCTTTTTACTGTAGGTAGATAAAAATCTTAATAGATTATAAATTATAAAAACTGTAAAAACTAATTTTCATTACCCTTAATTTATTATCAATCACAGTACATGTCCTGATAGTTGCTGTTACTTATGAGTCAAATAAGTTGGCATACTAAATTTTATATATAAATTTTTACAAAAAAATCATTAAAATTTAATTTATTCAAGAAAATACATATAAATCTTTTTTTAAATTTTAAATATATTGTAATATAGCAGTACTGGGTCTTAGTAAAGCTATACTACTTGACTTAATATGTAAGAGGGTTAAAGAATGTGTTTGTAAACAAGAAGATAATAAAACTAAGGAAAAACTAAAAGATAAAATAATAAATCCAAAAATAAAGAATAAAACATAATAAAATACTCAAGAACAAGGAAGAAGAGATGATGGCTCAACTCAATATACCAAAAATAAATACTCAAAAAGAAAGAAAAAGCAATAGCTCAACTTTAAATATACAATAAAAACATAATAAAAACTTTATTAAACACAATAAAAAAAAGGTAGATGATAGCTACACTTCCAAGAAAATAAACTGTAAATAATAAGGAATTAAAAGTAGATAAGAAACAATTTAACTTACTTTAAGAGAAAGATGTGTTTTTATATCTTTAAACTATTAATTAATAACCTAATTAATGATTTAGTTAACAATTTAGTTAAATCTAATTAATGATTCAGTTAATAATCCAGTTAATAACCTAGATAATAATCTAAATAACAACTTAAAAAATATATTAAATAACATTCCTATTAATGTCTCTATTAATGTATCAGATAGTGTCTCTATTGATATCCCTATTAACATTCCAAATAACATCCTTAATAATATACTAAAATTAATATTATATGTTAAAAATTTTACTAATAAACTAAAACTAAAAAATATATATACAGTATAATAAATATAAACTATACTAATAAAATATACTATTAAAATTTACTAATATAACAATATATAGTATTCTTAAAAGTTTTGTTTCTTAACTACTACAGTGCAAGATATCTAAAGACTTCTCAAACTTTAAAAGCTAATAGCATTTAATATAAAAATAATATCAAAAAAATAAGCTCTATTTTGTAGTTTAACTAATTTATTATAACTTAATGGCTTTATCTTTATATAATATGAAAAAAATTATCTTAAAATGGAACTAGTTATGTGTTTTAGCTTACTGCTATTAGTTAATTTTAAAATATTTTAAAATTAATTTTAAAAATTAATTTTTAATCAATCAAAATACAAAATTTCAAATAACATCAAATTTAATTATAAACTTTTAAAAATAAGACAAATCATATAACTTCTACCTTTAGATGTCTTGCACTGTAATAGTTCAAAAAAATCTTCTACTAAAGTTAAACAATTCTTTATTATGTTCAGTAGGATAAAATTGGGAGTTCTGAGACACTTTTTTGGCACCCTGGGTACTAAAGTATTCATTTTGCTTTTTAGATCGCTCATGAAGTCTATATTCTATATCAACTCTTTAGTACCTATATTAAAACCAGGGTACCAAAAATTATATAGTCAGAACTCACTATTT